TCATATTTATTTTAGAACGTAAATAAGTTATCCACGTTATTTTAATAACGTAAATATTATAAATTTATCCACGCTGATGACATTTTCTACGTTATGTGCATGTGATAAATCCGGTCTTATCTGCTTTCCAAAAATCACGTAAATATTTTATCCGCACTCTAAAAACGACGCATTTGTTCCATATGCGTTCTAAAACCCATGTATATGCTTTAACCGCGTTCTAAAAAATATGCAAATGATTTATCCGCGTATTCGAAACCACACCTATAGTTCAGGCACAATCATATCTTTTATACGCATTCTAAAAATCACGTATATGCTATATCCGCGTTCTAAAAACCATACATATGGTTTATCCGCGTTCTAGAAAATATGCTTTTGCTTTAATCTGCGTTCGATATCAGATACCAACAGAGAACAATACCAATAGAGATCCAGACCAATTGTAATTTTCATACAAATATAGAACGCATTTCCGAAACCACCTTAAAATCTCAAACACACATAACTTTGGTAATCTAAATTTCAAATTTCGGAGTTTTATGTTTATCCCTTCACCCAATACCCAATTTAGAACCACTTAGTACTTTCCGAACAATTATAGTACACATTATCCAAACCATACCCATATCTCAATTCCAGATGCCAACAGAGATCTCAATTTCAAACTCAGAATTCAAGCTCTATCCCTTCACTCAATACCAAATAAGTACCATTAGTAATTTAGAACACATTTCCGAAACAACCTCTGTATATTTACGACAGACTCCAAAAGTGACATCTATAACAAATTTTAGAATTGTGTCTCTATCCCTTCAACTAAGACCACATTTAGTACCATGTAGTACTTGTCCTACATTTATGGTACACATTTCCGACATCACCTCCATAACTCAATTCCAGATACCAACAGAGACCTCAACATCAAATTTGAGAATCTGTCCCTATCCCTTCGACTCCTACCAATTAAGTACCATTTAGTATATTTCGAACAAATATAGTACAAAGTTTTAAAACTACTTCCATAGACACCAAAAGTGACATATATAATATATTTTTTAGGACTTCATTAATCCCATCAACCAAGAACAAATTTCGTACAATTTATTACTTTTCGTATAATTGTTGTACAAATTTCCAAAACCAACTCCATATGTCAATTCCATACACCAAGAGAAACCTCAATATCAAATTTGAGAATTCCATCCCTATCATTTCACTAAATACGAAATTTAGTAACATTTAGTACTTTTCGTACAAATTTAGGACACATTGGTCGTTTTACTTGCCAAAGAGGTCAGCTGAAAATGTGCAGCTTCGTTCTACCAGAACTCAAGCGCCGGCCATGGTGATGGTGTGGACCGCCATAACACTCGATAGTCGCTCTCCGCTCGTTTTAATCGACCGTGGCATCAGAATAAATGCCGAATATTGTAGCGAAAATATTCTGGAGGGTGTATTGGACATGCCAACAGGGCTCAGTACCATCACAGTCAGCACGCGTCACCCAAGAATTTTGGACGCAGACCTTGGACATTCCAACAGGGCTCAGCACCATCACAGTCAGCACGCTCCACCCAAGAATGGTTACAAAATGAGGTTCTTCGCTTCATTTCCAGCTCACAATGGCCACCAAAATCTCCGCATACCAATCCGGTGGACTATTGGTCTAGAGTATTTTGGAAAGCAAGGTTGGCACTATAAAATACAAAAGTGTCGATCACCTTAAGCAAGCGCTTCGCCGGGAATGGGCCAAAATACCGCAGAGCAACATTCGAGCAGCGTGTGACGGTTTCATTCGCCGTTTGAATTCGAACAAATCTGAACCTATTCTTAAATTTGATGCTATTTCCGAAATTTTTTGCTTTTATTCAATAAAATTTAAAAAAATGTAAAAATTATGGTGTTTGACTTCGTTGCATTTTTTTATATGACCTTGTAGGTCCCATATATCAGAACCTTCCACATATTCGTTTTTTTTTTTATGATTTTAGTTACAATATCCACCGAAATTGTTTGAAATTTCGTATTTGAAGTTCTTAATAGCAACTACTGCCTGTGACAGAAAATTGTTTATGCTGGTCCAGGTTTGCGCATAGCCCCCATATATCAGTACCTCCCTGTATTCAATATTTTGATGATTTTAGATACAATATTCATTAAAAATGTTTGCAATTTCGTACTTGCAGTTCCTAACAGCTACTACAGCCCGTGACAAAAAATTGTCTATTCAGGTCCAGGTCTTCGTATAGGCCCCATATATCAGTACCTCCCAATATTCGGTATTTTGACGATTTTAGGGACATTATTCACCGGTGTTGTTTCAAATTTCGCATGCAGAGTTCATAATGGGAAGTGTAGTCTATGACAGAAAATTGTCCGGGCATGTCCAGGTCTTCGTATAGCCTCCATATATCAGTACCTCCCTATATTCGGTATTTTGATGATTTTAGCTACATTATTCACCGGAGTTTTTTCAAATTTCGTATTTAGAGTTCGTAGTGGGAACTACAGTCTATGACAGAAAATTGTCTATGCCTCCATATATCAGTACCTTCTATATTCGATATTTAGACGATTTTAGTTACAATATCCACTGAAATTGTACCTGAAATTTCGCAATTGAAGTTCCTCATGGGTGCTAAAGTCTATGACGAAAAATTATCTATACAGGTGCAGGTCTTCGTTTAGCCAAATATAACGGTACCTCCTTATATTGCAGGTATTTTGATGACTTTAGCGACATTATTAACCGGATTTTTTCAAGTTTCGTATTTGAATATTTTATGGCCTATGAAAAAAGTGGCCTATACATATCCACGTCTTCTTATAGTCCTTTATATAACGTCTGTATTCGCTATTTTTAAGATCTTAACAGAAATTGTAACGAATTTTATTTTTGAAAATTTCCAAATTCGTTCCAAATGGCGAAGGGTATTCAAAGTTCAGCCCGCTTTTTAACTTACTTATTGCTTTTTAACTTTTTTTTTGAAAATTTCTGAATTTGTTCCAAATGGTGGAGGGTATCAAAAGTTCAGCGCGGTAGAACTTACTACTTTTTTACTTGTATTAATATAGACTGATAGACCAGTTGGAATACCCTTTCGATAAGGTACCTGCCTACTGCGTTTTATTCAAGTATCGGTAGAAAGTCGTTATCCAAATTTTTTCGAGTTGTTATGTACTTCAAGTTTTCCTGGAGTTATATGGTGTGGGGTTTGCCTTCTGTAGGGTATTTCACAAAATAACAACAAAGCTCCACTCCACGCAACAACAACAACAAAAACCTACCAACCAACCAAGAGACGCAAAGAAATGTACTATGGTCTGTGGTTGTCTTGTCAGTCAGTCAGCTTGGCTTGGCTAACACATAGACTAACTGCCCGACTCTTTTAGCCAACATCATCGTCGTCGTTGTTGTTGTTGTCTTCATCTCGCTGTGTCTGCACCCAGCTAGAGTTAAGCCTTCGGAGTAGAGTCGAGTAGAGTTTTTAGCTTGTGAGCGTAGCAAGTGAGTGTCGTAGAGGTTGTTGGCTATGACAAAATCAAAAGTAACTTTAGTGTGAGCCGATAACTTAAGCCAGCTAGACGGCCACAAAAAATAGCGTTGATTTGTCGTAAAGAAAAAAAAAAATAGCAAAAATTGGCTAGAAGAACGTCGGTGCGATTTTTGAGAAAATAAATATAAAATTTATATTGAAAAAAAAAATGTATTAAGAAATCTCAGCGAGTTTGGATTGTGCGGTTCTTTGTTTGCATTGGCATAAAGAGAGAAAAAAAAGTATTTGTTGTTATTTATAATGTTGACCAGCAAACACAATTGCAAGCAACGTTGAAACGGTGTGAAAGGAATATTTTTTGAAAATTAAAAAAAATATATTTTCAAATTTTAGGCGAGTTATGACTCAAGTGCTGAAAAATTGGCCTATTTTGACCCTGGGCCTTGAGAGAAAAAATTGAGAAAATTTGAAAATTGTCAGAGAATTTTATTTTGAGTTTAAATTTTGTTCGTCTTGTGTAGCGAGTGTTGCTTTGAAATGCTGGCGATGTTGTAACGTGTTGGAGACCAAACGAAACAAAAAATTGCAGCTGATGCTGCAATAAAACAAAATTCCATTGTGTGTGTGTGTGTTTTTCAACAAATAACAACAAAGAGAAGAAGAAAAACAAAAAAAAAAAAATACCTGAATATCAAAACAACACATTTGTGAATTTTTTCTCGAGTGTAAAAATATTAAAGGTAGTGTGGAGTGTTGGTGTTGACGTTACGTTCGTTGTCTTGATTTTTGGTTACTGCCGTCTTCTGGGCAGGCAATAAACTGTCATACGTACCTACTGCATATGTGTATATATAAAAATTTAATAAATTTTTATTTCGTTTGTGTTGTTGTCGTTTGCATTTTTTTGCGGGTTGTCAGCCGGAGTTTTTTGGTATCATTATTATTTTCTTCTGTCGATGATCTTGTAAAGACAATCAGAAAAAACTGACTGTCGCACTTAAAAACCAATACCAGCACATCGAGCGGCATTCACTCTGGCTGGCTGATGTTGTACTTTTTTTGTATTTGGGAATATTCGACAGCAACAACAACAATAATGTGGCAGAAAAATCATTAACAAAAAATAAAAAAAAAAATTAAAATAAAAAATATAAAGAAAGAAGAAAACAACGCAAAATAAGTGATTTTTATTTCCATTCTTCTGTAAACGCTTTTTATATAACCGCATTCTGTAAAGGGAACACGCTTAATCGCTCGAGTGTTCTTAACTTGGACTGAAGTTAATCCGCTCTGCGGTTGAAAATAAATAAATATTCGGGAAAAATAAAGAATTTTTATAAAACAATATCGGGAATAAATTTGATCGGAAAAAAATTGAAATTGAAAAAAAAAATCGGGAAAATATATTTTTTTCCAAAAAAAAAACTTTACCCCTGACTCTAAAAGGGGAAAATTCCAATAAACCCCTAAAATAAAAAAATTTAATAAAAATTATAAAAAAGTGGTGTATTTAAAACAAAAATCTAAAAAATACATAGAAAAGAAATTGGAAAAAAATGTGTTAAAAATTTCAAAACAAAAATTGGAAAGTGTCAAGTGTCTTCAAAAATTGTGAAAAAATACTCAAAACTCCATCAACATAAATTGGGAAAATTCAATTTTTCCTGTCTCCATTAAACAACCTGAACTGCCCATCATTATTTTGTGGATATTTATTTTCCAGCATTTCCTCTTCTGAAAAAAAGTAATTATTATTTTTTTAATATTATATTTTAAACAACAATTTACGTTAATTATCTTTTTTATCAACTATTGCATAATTTTGTTTTAACAGTTAAACTTTCCATTTTCATTTTAAACGTTTTACTCCAAAGAGTTGGGGGGTTTGGAGTTTCAAGTGACGAAAATCCATTTCTTTACACCTTTCTTCTTATGAACACCAGCTAACAAACCGTAACGAATTTTGTTTTTTTTGGGTTAAAAATAGCCCACCTCAAAAATTTTGAAAATTTATTTTTCAACACCTTAATTGGTTGTAGGTTTTTTGTTTTTCCCATTTCTTTTATTATGGCAATAGAGTTTTAATATTTTTGAGGGGTGGGAATTTTGATGTTCCCTCAAAAATGGAATGATATTCGAAATGTGTTTCGATAGAAGATGATAATTTAATAATTAGTTTTGTGTTAAAAATATATAAAAATAAAAAATAAATATTTTGTTCAAAAAAATTTTTAGTATCTAAAATATTTTTTTTATTTTTTAATTTTTTTTGAAAATAAACGACAATTGTGTTGAAAATTTGAGAATTTTTAATTTTGTTGACCATTGACGAAGAGAACTTTTACGGGAATTAAAAGAATTTTTTTAGTTGTCAAGAATTATACAAATACAGTGGGCATATTCATATAGATGCTAGCCCTGGCTCTCTGTGCCATAAAATATTTTAGTCGGTTCCAAAAATTAAAAATTTCAAATAAACAAATATATTTAATATTCATTCCATATTCTATAACGTCAGATACCAACATCCACATCTATATCAAATTTTAGGATTTCAGGATTTCAGCTTTATTCCTTCACCCAAAGTACTATTTAGTAATTCTAGTGCAAATATAGGGCGCATTTCCAATACTACCTCCATATCTCAGTTCCTGATAGCAACAGAGACCTCAAAATTAAATTTTAAGTATTCCAGCTCTGCTCCTTCGCCCAATATCCAATTTAGTACTGCTTAGTATTTTTCGTATTCGGCCGTAACCAGCTCTAGATTTTAATTCCAGATACCAATTGAGACTTCAATATCAAATTTTGGGATTCCAGTCCTATCACCCCACCCAATACCAAATGTTGTAGCATAGAGTACTTTTCGAACAATTATAGTACAAAATTGTCAAACCACCTCCAAATCTCAATTCCAGGTACCAACAGAGACCTTAATATCAAATTTGAGGATTCCAGCTCTATTCCTACACCTAATACCAAATTTCGTACTATTTAGTAATTCTAATACAAATATAGAGCGCATTTCCAATACTACCTCTATATCTCAATTCCTGATACCAACAGAGACTTCAAAATTAAATTTGAGGATTCCAGCTCTATTTCTTCACCCAATATCCAATTTAGTATTTCGAACAATTATTGTACACATATCCAAACCCAAACTCCAAATCTTAATTCCAACTGCAAACAGTGATATATATGCAAAATGTCATGATTTCTGTGGAAATGTGGAACGCATTTCCAATTCCAACTCCAAATCTCAAGCACAGATACCATCAATTATCTAAATATGAAATTTTGGGATTTCAGCTTTATGCTTCCATCCAATATCAAACTTAGTACCATTCGTACAATTATGATAAACACCTCTAACTATATGTCCAGGAAACACATAAACAGCAACCCTAATACCAAATTTCAGATTTCAAGCACTATCTGTTCACCCAATATCAAATTGTACCTCAGCACTTTTCGTGCATTTGTAGAACACATTTCCAAAACCACCGCATTATCACAAATCTACCACCAACAGGGACCCCAATATAAAATTTCAAAATTCCAGCGTCACCCTAAACCAAATTGCCATTGCCATACCATTTTAGAACTTTTCGTTTCCTTAAAGTTCGATTTTCAAAAACCCTTTGGTACATATACCCTGCACATCATCTGTGACCCTCTTTCCAAATTTCAGAATTCTAGTGCGTTCCGTTTGTCAAAATTTTAAACTTTAGATACATTTTAGTACTTTTCGTACCTTTTTAGTTCAATTTTCCCAAATCGCAACCTTATCTAAGACTGACCACGTTTCGTTTCAATTATTTCAATACTCTTTTATAGATTGGTGCAATTTATTTTAAATATTTGGATAATTTGTTTAAAAAAGTATTTTTATAAAATACAAAATATTTATAATTTATGCCAAGTATTTGCACACTCTATATGAATATTTGAATATCCGATTTGTGTGGACTTATCCATGTTTAGAATAATTTTACATTTTTTTTGAATGATATAAAAATTTATCAAGAACATTTGAATAATTCATTCAAAAACATTTGAAAAATATAATTCAATTACACCGTGCAACAATTTTTTTTCAAGAAACAGAATTTTTTAAAATTTTTGTGATTCTTCAATTACACTGTGCGGCAATTTTTTTTATCAAAAAATTTTGAAAGTAGACCTGAAGATAGGTGGCACATGTATCGGCGTTTTGATAAGGTTACATTGCAAATTAACTTAAAGAGAAGGAAGAATACCCCACCCCCTTTCTACATTTATTTGAAAATTTCGGTTAAAGGTTTCTTGAAATCTAGGCGATTGTAGGTAAATAGTACCTTCGCCAATTTTGAAGATAAAAATACGAAAATTATTTTGATGGGAGTTTTTAAGAATCAAGCAAGTCATCAAAGGGGTCTTTTTGGTCTTTTTTTGAAAATATGGTCAAAAACTCTTTAAACGAGGTCGTAGCAAGTCAAAATATTCAACAAAATTATTTGTTATTCTACTATAGGCCCTAGAAGATGTCAAGAGTCTAAATCTTACCCAAAGGCCAGGAAAAGAAATATATTAAAAATACATTTTAAGGGCTTAACCGTCAATACTTTGTGTGAGTTTATGCAAAATCTTCCTACAAAGCAACATTTTAGGTGGATAACGTCAAAGACAAGAATATTTTTAATAAAATTTCATTATAAGTCGCCATAGAAAATAAATCTCTATTTTCATTATATATCAAGAAAATATTCGCATCAATGTTGCCCTCCACCACACATCATCAGCGTAAAATTCTAAGACGATTTAGCCCTGTCCGTCCGTCCGTCTGTTGTAATCACGCTAGAGTCAAAACAAATAAAGATAGGAAGCTAAAATGTTGCACTGATCTGCCTTTAGTCTGTAGGTAGGTCAAGTTCGAAGATGGGCTATATGGTCCACGATATCGTTTAGCCCCCATATAACGGTATCCCTGATATTCAGTATTTTGATGATTTTAGCAACATTTTTATCGAATTTTATGTCTATGCAGGTCTACGTCTTTGTATAGCTCCCATATAACGGTGCTTCCCTTTATCCGGTATTTTGATGATATTAGCGACATTATTCATCGGAATTGTCTAAAATTTCGTATTTGAAGTTCGGAATCGTTAATGCAGCTCATGACAAAAAATTACGTCTTCTGATAGCCCCCATATAATGGTTTTCCTTTGAGCGGTATTTTTCGACGATTTTTTTTTTTTTAATTTTTCAAGTTCCTTCCGAATTGTGGAGGGTATAAAAAGTTTCGCTTGGCCGAACTTAGCTGCTATTTCACTTGTTTTTTTTATCAATTTTTCCGAGGACATGTGAAAGAGGTGTAAACTATTTTTTTTTTGGTTTTTTTCGTTTGATTTGATTTTTTTCAGATTTGAAGTTCAGTTCTGTATTTTTTTTCTACTAAAATTCATCTTTAATTGCCATTATTTAAATTTTCTTATAGGCGTTTTTATAACCATCGAAAAAGTATTATTTAATTTCCAAAATTTCTGTTTTTTGCATTATATTCTTCATTGCACTAATACCCCATTCAATGTTGTCTCCTCCGTTTCTTGCATTTTCCAACTTGTTTTTACTTCAAACACTTTCCTCACCCAAAACAAATTTTCGGGTTTTACGTTTAGCCTCAATGAATGTGAAGTCACTACAAGTTACCAAAAAAATAGGGAAAATTATTTTCGCCAAAAAGAGTTGTCGTTGTTATTGTTTTCAATGTGGTGTTGTTTCGGGGTTTCATTCAATCATTTACTTATTTTATTTATCTTTATTTTTTGCAACCATGTTTTGTTTGGTATTGGTATTTCAACTAAGCAACTGTCTACCCAGGCCTACAACTTCTCTCAGTTGTTGTTGTTGTTTCTTCCACGATATTTCATGCACTCCATTGGTGTGTGTGTGAGTCTATGAGGATTTTGTAATATCTTACATCTTGTTGGTGTTTTTGGTTTTGTTGTTGTTATATTTCATGATTATCAGCGATTTTGTTTCTATTTTACTCTCCTTTGTGTGGTTTCTTGATATCAAAAAAACCAAGAGCTTTACACATTACACACAGCCTGTTGGGTTGTCTGTCTGCCTATCCAGTATTTTTGTTGTAACACCAAAGCAACACCATTAATTCACAACAACAACAATACAATGTGATTTCCAACTGAGCTTTTATTGAGTTTTGATATCCATTTTTCCATTCCATTTGTTTACAAAATCACTGTTAAAAAGTGGGAGAAAAGAATGTAGGTGTTGTAAAAGAAAAATGAAGGGAGGAAGAGAAAAAGAGGGGAAATGACAAATAAAAAGTCAAATATGTAATAGAAGAAGTGTGGAAACAATATCATTTATTTGGTAGTAATGTTCTCAGAAGAGTTTTCTTTGTAAAACAAAAGACTTAAGCAACAAACCCAAATATTTGAAAATGCATTTGTGTTGGTGTATATATTTATAAATGGAGTAAAATTCCATACCGATTTATGCATGGCCGTCTGTGTGTCTGTACGTCTATTCCAATGTCTGAGATAGAGCTATGGAACGTCGTGTTGATATTGATATTATTTTGGGGATGATTTGTAATGAAAATATGCCAGCCCACGTTTAGACAAATCCTCCACTCCCAATATCCAGTACTATGAAGATTTAGCTACAATTTTTAAAAAAAGTGAGCTGTAATTTTTTTATTAGGAAGTGCTGCAAAAACACATTATGGGTCTACAT